CCCCCTCCCTACACTGTCCCCCTCCCTACACTGTCTCCCTCCCTACACACCCCCCTCCCTACACTCTCCCCCTCCCACGGGTGCAGCTATTTCATTTTTTTTATTCAGGAGACTGACTATCCTACCCTTTCCTATCCTAGAATAATCTTGCAGCTAGGATTAGGAATCAATTATTGCAGTTCCAACACACTCCTGCCTCTTTAATAACCCTGATCTGTTTGTGCTTACAATTTGCCAATATGCATGCGTAACATACATAGTGTGGACTTACGAACAAAAGATGTTCACACAGTCGAGGAAGGGAAGACGTACTGCGGGCATACTCATGGTCACAGGACGTTTCCCCTTCGCTGAAAGAAACGTTTAGAGGCATTTTTGAGTTAAAGTTATCATCATAAAAGAAAAAGGAACAGTCAAGGAAACATTTTCCGAAAAGCCGGCTAAAAATATTGTTCCCAAACTGCACGAAAACATGAGGACATTTCCTAGTAAGGACATTTCCTTACTAGGTATGTAATGTAAGTGTGGGTGAACGGCACAAGTTACGAATGCGTTTTGAATGGGTACAGTGCCACTGCAGTAAAGGAATTTCCGTAGATCAGACGTCACTAGTACTCCATCTGAATAACTCTGAGCAACCATCCAACTTTTTGCATCTCTAATGCACCCCTGTAAACCCTTATCTCACCTTATTCCATCCCACACAATCTACCGAGTACTCATGCACTCGTACTCCCCCCCTACATCCCATGCAGTCCTCACCCTACTGCATCCTGCGCATTTAGTGAGCGAGCCATCAAATGCCCAGCACACCTACTTCACCCTACTTGCATCCTTTGTAAACCCCTATCCTAAACCATCTTCCTATGCAACTCTGCACGACCCTACCTGGCCCACTTAACCCTGTCAATTTCTTTTTTCCTCCGACAGATGCTACGGTGACGGAGGGAGGTGAGAATTTCAGCGTGGGTCAGCGTCAGCTGTTCTGTTTAGCTCGTGCCTTCTTGAGGAAGACTCGCATCCTGGTCATGGATGAGGCCACCGCCTCCATCGACTTGGAAACGGTGGGTTTCACTGGAATTTCAGACAAATAGAATCACTGGACTATGCAAAACAGTAAGCAAAAGAAAAATGCAAAAAAATTGGACTGAGATAGATATTCAGATTATGTCCTGTCCTTGAAACATTGTTGCAGAACTCTATAAAGGAGCCAATGTGTCATCGCAAGCAAACCACTGAAATTTCTATAGGTATATTGTATAAGCAGAACAAATCACACTTAACGTAACCACTCCATATGGCAAGATCCTGTCAAACAGCATGGCTTAAGCCTTGCTGGAAGAAGTTTGGATTATTGGCAAATACTATACTCTTAAAGCGTTCATCCCCCTGTTCTGATAACTTGGCATACAGCAATTAACAAGGCAGTTATTGGCATCTCAGTTTGCTAGGCCTGGCATTTGGTTTAAACCACTCGCAGCAGTTTGTGATAATCTTTGCTGTGAATGATTCCGTTACAGGATAAAATTCTGCAGCGTGTTGTGGCCACAGCTTTTCAAGACCGCACTGTTCTGACCATAGCCGTGAGTATAACCGTAACATTTAGGTTTTTAATTCACAATGCGCCACATAAAAATTGTGCACAGACCATCCCCCCCTCTTCGCTCCATGGGAAACTTCTCTGGTTACCGTTATTTCAGAATATAAGCCGTGGCTTATATGTTGATTCTCACGCTGAAAAATGTTTATTCATTGGTTTATTATTCATTTGATAGAAACCTGACGCATGCCAGCCAGAAGGCTGAATTATGGTCATCATAAAGTTGAAACACAAACAAAACCAAATACAAATATATAAAATAATTGTAAAACCTAAAAATAGATAATTATATTTAAAAATGAAACCAGTTAAAGAGAATAACAAGTGCAGGGTGGGGGGATGGGGGCAAGTATAAATGTACAGGGAAAAAAGGAATCCCTAACGAAGAATTCTTGCCACTGAGGGCGCTGTAGATTTGTGATATCTTTCAGTTCGACATGTGGGGATGACCAACGTAGACACATTACTCGACCACGAATTTGTTCCATTGGCTTTCTCTGGGGGGAGTATGTGTCGGAATCTATTCGACGACATTAGCCATTTTTCCCAAATTTGTACAAAAGCTTCTGGCGTTTAGATTCAGGTTTCAGCAAGTAAAATGTCTCTGTGGCTTATACGCCGGGCAGCTTATATGACAAACTTTGAAAAATAAAATCAGTCACAAAAGCTACGGCCGGGCCATGTGTACCATGTGCAGGTGGCCCAGCCAGTCATGTTTGGTTGGTTGTGTAAACTCAAACCTCGGAGAATAAATGAAAATTCAAGTTGCCAGGATTTTGAGTTATTAACGGAATTCCCCAAGTTGTGGGGCCACGAAACACATACATGAAATGCGTACGTAATCACAGCAAACTTCCCTTGCAAAGTAAATGATCATTTGGCTTCATTTTTTCAATGATCATTTACATTTGAAAGAGTTTGTTTGAAATAGTGTAATTTGAAAATTCATCATGAATTTTTTTTTTTTTTTGGTCACAGCATCGTGTGCAATCTATCCTGGACTCGGACCGCATTCTGGTTCTAAGCGAGGGCAAAGTTGCCGAGTTTGACACGCCGGAAAATCTTCTGGCAAAGGAGGACAGCATCTTTTCCTCGTTGGTAAAAGCCGGCATATAAGGAGACAAATGATATTCGTCTCGTGACTGCAGTCTCATGACTGGTCATGGGACTGGTCTTGTGACTAGTCTTGGGATGATCTTGTGACTAGTCCTGTAACTGTTTAGCCTATCTGACTTGAAAACTGACCAGTCTTATGACTGGTTTCCTGACTGATCTCCTGACTGGTCTTGGGACTAGTCTTACGAACTAGTACTGTGACTGGACTGTGACTGGTCTTGGGATGGTCTCAAATGCAACACTACCCAAGTCAGTCACAAGTCGTCCTGTCGCAAGTCAAAGCTGTTGAAACAAACTGAAACAAAGGGCATCCCTTTGTCGTTGTACTTCATTGTTTAGCCTATCTGACTTGTAAACTGACTTTGTGATTTTCTTGTGAGTGATACAGTTGCAACACTGTAACACTTTATTTCTCTTCTAAAGTCCCAAAGGATTCTTTGTAGTCATCAGGGATATTTCTAACACATTGAAAATTCTAATTTGACGACAAGATTTAATTCTTTAAATGCTGGAGATCTAGTAAAATTGTTACATGACAGGCTGTCACGTGCTGTAATTGAAATCACACGCTGGAAAATATTTCCACGTGATCGTACAGCCAAGTGGCTATATAGCACACCTGCATGAATTTTAAGCACTGTACTCTCTGACGACTCTTGACACTTAACTGCATTGAGTACCTGAAAAGGATTTGGCATAAACAAACCTTAACAAGTGCTGTTATAACAGTACACAAGATTTGACGTTTTAATGTCTCACTTTGATGGACAACTGCCATTAGCACCTGGTGCCTTAAACCTATTTATCTGCAGAGACAATAGTTGAGATGTTCAACTCCATTCTAAGAAAGTTGAGTCAAAAATGTTTCATTTGGACAATATGCCAGGACAGAATTACCTTTTAGGTTTTTGGGCTTTATATTAATTATTTAGGTAGTTTGCAGACTATTGCATATGTTATAGTGTACAAATACTGACTGTCTGAAGTGGTGTAGCAAAACTAACCTCCCGGGGCGATTCATGAAGCATTCTTAATTATTTCTTCAAAGTGAAACCAGTGGACAAAGTGGAGTCTTCCATTGATCACAGAGGGAGGCTAGGTTAACTCCAAATGAGATTAACCAATATTTGCTTTATACCACCCAGTGGCATAACTATGGGGGGCACATGCCCCAGCAAATGCCTGTGTCCCCCCGGTGCCCCCCCCCCGTTTGAAATCCAGGCAGCTGTAGGCCGCTGCAGCTCATTGTCTTTTGGTGCCCCCCTGAAAAAAAAGTGTGCCCCCGGACATAATAGCCCCAGTTACGCCATTGATACCGCCTCTCCTACAGATTCTGCTCGATTTAAGTGATAACTGATTGTTTCGATCAAACTACAACTAAAAACCGTTTTTATTTAACATTTGATGTTTAGAGTATATTTTCAGACTGGTATTATATTTTAAAAATCTTGGCAAAGATTAGAAAAACTAATTTTCATAGGTACGATACGATAGGTACGATAGATAATTTTGTTTGGAGTCTCGGATACATGTACATACTTTTTTTACATTTTTTCCCATACTTTTTTAGATTAGTTAAGTTGACTTTTGGTCGTTATAAATGGACCTACTAACCAAGCTGTAGAAAGAAACTTTAACAGTTGCATTCGTGGCAACACCTTTCGGGAAAAACAGGAAACAGAAGGTATTTTGCTCGTCAATAAAAACCAGGAAATATCACAATCTATACCACTAGTCCTAGTTTTCATTAAAGGAGTTCATAAGGAAGTATAGTACATTTTCTCAGTACCAAGGATTCTTGGCATAGTCTGATTTCCCGAATTTCATGCGAATTTTGTAATTCGAGTAAGGATTTGTAGAAACCAGTATGTTCGGGGATTAGAGTCATAAAAAGTTTATGATGTGGTCCCGAGGACTCGGGGGCCGTATTGGGAGTTGGCACTGCACGGCTTAACCCATGCGCGGGTGTGTAGCACCGAACATGCATGGCCAGCTTTCCTCAGAATGTGCACATCTTAGTCTCTTTGTGTGGGTGTTGTGCACTCAGAATCCAGATCACTGTCAGTGTTGGGATGGACAGGGTCTCCATAACCATTTGCATTTTGTGTGTTTTTTTTAAATTAACTTTGAATTGAGCAGACAGTTTGCTTTCAGCATAAAGAAAGCGACACAGAGGTGCCCTTCACGCAATATAGGCAATGATTTCTGACGTCACCTTGGAGGTTCCCCTCAACACGTTGGCACAGACTATTTGCAACCCCCGCCCCCTCCGCAGCACTCAAGATTACACATGCAACTCCTTTGCGTCCTGTATAACTCACCGTAAACTTGAAATCAAGTCGGTACACGTGTGACTAGACGGTGTTATTCGTCTGCCAAGTAACGCTTCCCGCTCTTTTATGCCTCTCTAGGGTTACGGAGACGGTACATACAGGCCTAACGTCCTCTAAACTAGATCGTATGCTCAAATTTGAAACATCGAACAGCGGGTAAAGAACTGCGGCCACACTAAACATGATTGGCGCGTTGCCAACGTGCAAAAAACCCAAAAACCGACCGTCTAACGACCCGTCCTCAAGTTCAGGCACAGGATTTGGCCAAGTCTATCCAATATAAACGTACTTGATCTTGTTCAGCTCCACAGTAAACGCTTAACTTGATGTATCAGCAAGGCAAAACAACGAAGTTACAGGGGATGGATGTTTTTAAGGAAATGACCCAAGTCCAACGAATCAAATGCTGTCACAAAGGCTTGTTATAACATAGTTTGGCAAAATATTACCTGCCTGTCTGCAGAATTCTTGTTTTTGTCAAAACTATTTCAAGTTAAAAATCTACAACTGCACAGTAACCTTTGAACTTCTAGATTACAATTAGTTTTTACCCCTTTGGAATTCTAATGTGTCAAAATTTATGCATGAGACTATGGAAATGTCCCCAAGGTATCATTGTTCTTTGAGGAATTATTCTTTAAAATTCGTCTTAGTATAAAAACAATAACAACAATTTGAATTACAGTATGAAATTATGATATAGTAATAATTTTTATTAGAGAGAAAAAGAGGTCTATTCGCAGGAACAGATTTTGAAGAGCACAGTGCATTTCTTACATTGCTTTAGTAAATTGAACGTGTATTAACCTCATTTAAAGACACAAATGGACGAATTTAGGCAAATGAAGTTCGTGTCTGAAACGAGCTTCTAGAGCTACGGCTACATCTCTTGTCTGCGGTCTCCGCGTATATCCGATGGAGTACCTAGCTCTAGACACAGATTCGGATGCAGCGTTAGCTCACTGCATTCAACCAGCAGAAATAATGAAGGTAACGCTGCTATATACAAGCAATTTTTTTTAAACTGGTGTCTAATTAGAGAAGTCAGCTTTTAACTGTCAGAACCGCTTCCTTCTTAAGCTAGATCGTAGTGTCTTCATTCACGCATTGTTCTCTTGGCGTCTTGCTAACATCGCTTTCAGCGCCTCGGACGGCTGGGGTATTCTCTCCCATCTACACCGCAGCATCGGCCGAAACACCTTCCTGAACTGAGGATGTTTTGCCCCGTAGAGGATTGGGTTCACGCAGCTGTTCAAAATCAAAATGGTTGCAAAGTACAGCGTGAACCTCTTGCTGGTCGGGACGAAGAGCGACAGGAAATACGGCGAGATGCACAGCATGAACGTGACGAAGATCACAAAGAGATTCTTTGTGATGGTGAGCTGCTGCTGGCTGATGCGATGTTGTGAACGCCCGCTTCTGTATTCTTCCTCGCGCGATGCCCGGTCCGACGCCTCGCCCGGTACCTCGGTGGAGTTGGGATGTGGGGTTGGATTGTCCCCGTTGGTGATCGTTGAGAGTTGTTTGAAATGACCCCTGATGTACATATAGATGGCCAGATAGCTGATGATTACTGTTATCAAGGGAACAGGGAAGAACCCAATAGCTTGGGCAAGGTTGTAAAGTTCAGCGAGGGGATGCAGTTCGTCATCCGAGCAGGAGGGTAGCTTGGTATCGATGCCCAAGTTACCAACTCCAATGGTTGGAGGGAACACCACAACAATGACGGGGACGAGCCATGCAAACGTCACGATCCACGCCATCTTGCAGGGAGAGAAAATCCGGTTGTAAGTAGCCAGCGGGCGAGTTATCCTTACCAGACGGTTTAGCGCAATCAAGGCCAGGTTGTAGAGGCTGGCACCCAGGCCGGTGTGAAACAGGAAAGCCGCTATTTGACAGGGAACCTCAGTAGATAGTGGCCAGCTGGCGCCGTCGCTGAGCATTACCACGCTGGACCAAGGTAAAGACAAACTTGTCAACAGATCAGCCACACTGAGGTTGACCACCAGGACGTTGGTTGAAGTCTGGACAAGTTTACTTAGAATTACCGACAGAATCACCAAGGAGTTGCCCACCACACCAAGGACCGCTACGAGGGTCCACGTACAGCCTATGAACACCAGCTCGCCATATGAGTAAACTTCAGCCAGTTCGTCAGTCATGGAAGCTGTTGTAGCATTGCTCGCTTTAAAACTCAGAGCCAAGGAAGAAGTCATGTCTATGACTCTAAACCACCCTTTTACACAAATATAACCCGTCAAAGATGTGCCCAGTGTATAGTATCTGGCGTAAAACGGTTAAGTCGGCAGTCGAACAATACCATGTGGAAGCGTTATTGGTTCCATTTGTCATTTGGACTGCCTACGCGTGTGTATGCAAACATTAATTTATGCCTCAAACAACAGAACAGCCATGACTCACTTATCACTATGAATTTCAGCACCATGAATTTGCAGTTAATTTGCAGTTTCACTGTGAAATTGTTTTTTCACTGCAACTTCATGGCAGTTCACGTGGTGAAAACATCGTGAAAATAATCCCGGATGTGACCCCTTGCCGACACCTTGAGGTCAAGTGAAAACACCATGAAAATGCACTGAGCCCATCCAGGGGACCTTCCTCATTAACTTTGCGGTGGGGCTAATCCTTTAAATGCTTTAAGG